GATGGATGGATGGATAGTATAAAAGTCTATAATGAATACCAACAAATATTTTGCACATATTCTTTCTTGGGGTCCAGTGGACCCCGAAAGACCTTCTACGTTTGGCAACATGAAGGTCCTGAACAGGGTTAAAGCTTAAGAACAATAAAAACTATTTAATTGTTGGATTTCCATTGTTTATCACTACCTACACTTTTACAAATATAATTTACTTACTATATTTCTCTAAATTGGATCTAAACATCTGTATTGTATTGAAGCACTACTTTGTATCATAAAACCACTTTTAAAAAATTAAAAATAATTTAATTAGATTTTCATTGCTTATTACCACATATTTGCAAAAACATACTGTAATTTACAGAGTATATACACATATATTAGTCGATAAATTACTGCAAAGTTTCTCTAAATTGGGTCTAAACATCTGTATTACATCGTGTTGAAGCATGTTTTTGTATCGTACAACAGTTTTAAAGCTTAAGAACAATTTATTCATTTGGTTTCCATTGTTTTTTACTACCTGTTAGCAGAACTGTACCATCATTTACATTTATATATACATATTAGCCAATAAATGACTGAAACTTGTGTTTATATTCGGTCTAAACATCTGTATCACATCGTATTGAATCATTACTTTGTGTCATAAAACAATGCTTTTAAAGTTTAAGAGAACAACAACCTAATCATTTGATTTCCATTGTTTATTACCACATTTCTGCAGAAATGTACCCTCATTTAGTCAGTACATACATATTTTAGTCGATAAATGGCTGAAACATTTCTCTAAATTGCGTCTAAACATCTGCATTACGTTGCATTGAAGCTCCTCTATGCATCAAAAAGCAGATTTAAAGCTTATGCAGCTCATGGCCCAGACTGATGACAGCTAAAACTAAAACTCATCTTCCTCGACTCGCTCTCAGTCCTCCGGATACACGTGAAACTAAAAAAAGTCCGGCGTAATCATGAAGTCGTTACCTGTACACGTCTGAGACGGCCTTGATTTGTAATTTCCCATCGAGGGGCTCCTTCTCCTTTTATATGTGCTGTGTAGTTTGGTGAGCAAGAGCAAGTCAGAAACACAATCTCACACTCTGCCACAATTGCTCAGGTCCAGATAAAGAGGGGGATCATGGCTGTGGGCTAAAAATAAACCCCTGCGAGTGGAATGCCTAACAACTACGACAACTGATCTCCCTCTCTGTGTGTGTATATACAGCATTAAACAAACCAGGTGGTCAGTGTCCTGCTCTGTCCCGGAAAGAAATCTGATGCAGGAAAGAGTGCCGGACGGCCTGAGAAGGAAACAATAATGGATCAGTTGACAGGCTCCTGGACGTTTTCTGTCCCTCATTTTTCATAAAAGTCGACAAATATGGAGGAAACTGATAACATTAAGATCTGTCCCGGGATTATTTGTACTGCAATGCTTCATTTATTAACACTAATATTAGTAATAGTTTGCGTTTCTACCGGTTTAATGTTGTTACAAATCACAAGTCTTTGTACCTTCTTCATCTGATCTGAACACTGCTGCTATATTCTGCTTTATTTGGTTAATACTTCCCAGCAATGAGCGTCTCACGGTTGTTCTGAATGTCTCTGATCTGTATCACATCGCTGTAGATTCCTGTTTGATCCGTTTATGCTGAGCATTAATGCATTAATTACACAAACTGAAGTAACACAACTGACATTTAGATTTGATCTGTAACTATATTTATTTTGTCTATTTGACATCTGCTTTATGTACAGAACAAAAGCTCCATCCACCCACCTAACATCATCGTTTGTAATTGTTGGAACAGTTTCTGGATTTTGTGTTTAAATGTTTGCTCCATGTTATTCGACACTTGTTTCACTAAATTTTTTAATTACTTTCCATTTTATTCTTGTAGTATTGCTTTAATTTTCCTTTTATTGCCCATATGCTGCCCTTTCAGAGACTCATTTTCTTGCTCTCAGAAGAAAAACTACCAAAAACAAAGCTTTTCTTAAATACCAGAAGAATCTAATGTGGAAAAGACAACAAAAAGCTTTAAATGAATATGAAATGTGTCTATTTTTAAATGAGAAAAGTTTCACAAAACTTCCAAAAAATGAAACAAAAGGTTTTTACCAAATTCAACTAGATGACAAAATCCAGATTTTTATAAAGTCCCGATTGCTGAAGATCAGCTGAGCACTGGATGATCAGACAGAATACAGATGATTTATGGCACAACCTGAGCTCCAACTGACAACATAAAACTTCACACGTGATCTAAATGTCTGTCAAAATGTCTGTTCTAGCTGCTCACTCTCCTCTGTGTGATTTCAGTGTGCAGTCCCTTCCTGAGCATCAACATCTCCTCCAGGTTCTTACTCTGCAAACACTCCTGCATTGACATGAGCTTTGTGTCTTTGGGTAAAGGGCTTGTGGAGCCACTCAGGACGGCCTGCAGCATCTGTAGAGACGCTGAGAATGAGTTCAGCTGGTCGGAGCAAACCGGAAACAAGCAAGCGTTCCACAAGTTGCAGCAGGAAGCATCACCGGAGAACCTCAGGGCTTCGTTCTTGATCTCCCAGCGAGACAAACACTGTGCCAGGCCCAACCCACAAAGCTCCAGCTCGTCCATATACGCAGGGGCGTCCACGCTGCGCTTCAGGTTGTCGTTGATCCCAAAGAAGACGGTCACAAACCTGATCTGGTCCTGGTGGTCCACGCACAGCGAGTGCATGAAGGCTCCATCGGGCACCGAGAGGCCTGGACCGACCCAGCAGCCGCTCACGATGGATCCCGAGCCGACGGACGCTCCTTCTCCCAGTCTGGAGAACTCCACCACCGATCCGGCTCCCACAGAGACGCTGGGATCGAGGACGCTGTACATAACGCAGCAGCCAGAGGAGTCAGAGGTTTGCAAACTGAAGGCAGAAGACAGGAGGCCCAGCTCGGTCCTCAGCGCCGCGTCCTCGGTGAGGTGAAAGAGGTACTCTGAAGTGGTTCCGATGTGGTAAAACTTGGAGTTGTTGAGGAGGATCACGTTCAGAGGAGTCCCCTTGAGGAGATGGAAGATCTTTTGTCGGATTTCCACCAAGCTGCTCTCCTCTTTGGTGACGTTAGCAGTGTTGCTGGTGTAGTCTATCGTAGCTTTAGAGCCCAGAGCTTGAAGAAAGTCCCCGTACGCGTCTATCTCACAGTCCAGAGGGCCCAGCTCTTTCAGCAGGTTCAGAAGAGACCTTGCTGTATCAAAGTCGAAATAATAGGTGCTGTCTGTGTAGACAAATTCAGCATCGGACACAGAAACCGGTCCATTCTGCCTCTTACAAACCGCTCCACTGTCGCGCATCTTCTTGACGCTCGGCTTGTGCAGAAAGCGCAGACAGGAGGTCGTCTCCATTTCCGAGTGTGACGGCTTTTCACGTGGATCCAACACGAACACGCCGTGTGTGGTTCCTACCAGGAGCGGGGAGGGATGGGCTAAAGCTGTAAAACCCGGCTTATCAAACCTCACACTCTGTTCCTCTGATATGCTGTAGAGCTCGATGTCGTCTGCGCAGGTCACCAGGACGCCAGGCTTCATTTGTGAGGGGAAATCCACGTACATGGCCAGTTTGAGCTCCAGCATCTGGTAGACGGGATCGCCCAGCGGGAAGGCCATGAAGATCTTTCCCAGAGCGCTGGCGCTGGGCAACCGCTGACTGAACCCTCCTGGAAGAACGAGAAGAGGGAAAAATGAGAAAAAATACAGGGCAAGGTGCATTATATAGAGTCGCTGAACAATCATAGCATCTAGGTCATGGTAATGTTAGGAGCTTCAGAAAAAACGAACTGGATCTTTCTCAGTTGCAACTGAATGAGAAAAATCTTCAAGAACCTAAGACAGAAGTCCAAATTCTGTTTACTGAAGCTCCTAGGATGCTTTGTAATTTGTTGGAATGATTAGCCAGAGGAAAAATATTCCTTAAAGTCACACCTGCTTTAGAGAACCTGTTTAAAAGCCTTTAACATTAGAAGTCATCCTTTTGAAGATGCTCTGTAAATAAGCGCATAATCATAAAAGCATCACAACAGTGCAGGTCTTACACTCCTCATCAGGATGTCATGATCACACACTAAGTCTACACACAGGAGTTTAAGTATTCACATCTTCTAGCCACTTTTTAAAAAAAATTTATTTAATAATGTGCTATATTCTTGCAATTTAATATAAGAGTCATTTGAGAATTTTTTAACTATCATGTTGAATAAATTGACAATAATCATCATACTAGACTCTTAGTTTTGTCCTATTTTGTTATTTGCTCGTTGCAAGTGAGAATAAATTAGCTGACATGTAGGCAGCAGTAACTGTGATTGCAGCGTCTGGAATATTTCATGCAGGAGTCAACGAGCGGAACCACGCTGCAAAATGAGACTTTGGAAAGTGCAGTCAGGGCCAGAATTCAAAACTATACAGCCCTTCTACTGCAGTTCTCCCTTCTTCTGAGCTGTTTCAAACAGATGAGCTCGAAATGAAAGCATTCAACATGTGTTTGTGGCATCACACCACATCAGACTCTTTCATCTAACCCACTGCACCGCCACATCCTACTGTCACTGTGGACTTTGCTGCTCTTTATGCTATCTTACCTGATCTCGGTGAACAGATTTGGCTAAAATCTTCCATAACAGGCAAAATGAAGTGTAAAATGGAGATGGTGAAGGGTTAGTATGAAATTTTTGGCCAGTGCTGCCAAAAAATAAAGCTTGCCCAATCGTTAAACAGTCAATAATATTAATTATTGCACAGAAAATGTATCTCCAACAGTTTTGACAATGATAAATAGGTTAGTTTAGGTGGTTTTTCAAGCAAAAATGCCTGCAAAGATGAAGGTTTCAGCCTCTAAAAGGTGGAAAACAAGGAATTTGACGATGACTAGGCTTTATAAAATGCTTTTTTTTTTTTTTTGTTTTTTTTTTTTTTTTTTTTTGTTTTTTTTTTTAGTACTTTATACACCAGACAATCTCTTCCACCTTGAACCAGGCGGTATCTATTATAGAAAGTGCCATTTTTTGAAGGTTGCAAGGCATTCAGTGGAGAAATTGCCTTGTATTGCTATGGCTATAATAATTGTGTGCATTTGTGGTGCTTCATTTCTGTTCAATGTCGGTAGAAACAGGCTCAGTACCATCTGTATCACTTGTTCTGTGGCACAAGACTGTTTTTATGCTCTCATATACAGGTTTCAATTAAGCAAAAATAATGAAAATGTCAGTTTTTCCACATCTCACTTTGACCTGGTGATTAAGATGAAGTTACTTTTTGTGTTTCAAAACTCCCTTAAATTTCTTTTACAGATTGCTCATTTAGGCATCTGAGTTTTTGCAGCTCTTTCTGACACAACCTGGGGATTTTTTTCAGGTTAAATTTTAATTTAAAAAAAAATGCCTGGGGCTTGAGTGTTAATCAAGAAAGTATTCTGCAGATTAATTAGTCCTACAAAAATAATAATACGAAATAGTTCTAACAGTGGAGCCCAGCGTGCATCAGATAATTCTTAAATGTTTAAAAGCAACCAAATTTAAAAGCAGACAAAAAGAAAACGAGCAACCTGCATGGATCAGGATGACTCTCAGGCTGCTCAGAGCGTTTCCATAGATGTCATTCAGCTGCTGCAGAGCGTACAAAGTGGAGCCTCCATTACCTAAAAACAAAACACAAGATGTATTAATATGATCTATAATGTGCTGCTTTGAGCCTCCTCAGTGATGAACAGAGGACTCACTCACTCACCTATTTTAGGTCCAGGAGGATCTGAGAAGACCTTGTAGTGAACTCCAAGTGGAAGCTCCTTTCTGTCAGTTTTCTCTCTGATCTGCAGCTCGTACGACGTTTTCTGGCTTCTGTCCGCAGCAGTAAGAACCACAACATCCCAGAAGTCTCCCGGCTGCACCTCCCGACCTTCAGGTGAAGCAGAAACTTACTGTGACTGAACCACATGAGCCTCAGTCAGTCACACGCATCAAATGTTGTTAAACTCACCGCGCAGAGAGTTGAGTTTTCTGAGTTTTTCTCTTGTTGCAGTTTGAAGTTTTCTGATACAGTCCTGGCTCATGCTGTCGCCTCCAATGTGGATTAAATACGGCCGCTGTGATGACAGATAAACACCGTTTAACGCTTGTGTTTACATCGGAGCTCCGCTGTCTCCTGCTTCCGGGTTTGGTCACGTGGTCAGCTGTATTCACGAGGGAGCCAGGAAGCTGAATAATCAATAATAAAAATGTTGGCGATTTATAGATTAATACTGTATATTTATAGAAAAACACTAACCACAAAAAAAATCTACATTTTCTTTCTTTTTTAAACTTTTCTTTATTTTAGTGATACAATTATATCTCTGGTGAATATAAAAGTAAAGTCGTTTATCTTAATCATCTTGTTTATTGTTTTATCATTTTATTCAGCTTCTTTATTCCACTAAATAAATTGCATTTTTTGTTTTCTTTTTATCTTTTTTTTGTATTACACTATCCTTGATGCTTTCCCTATATTGTCACCTTGATATTATTATTATTATTATTATTATTATTATTATTAATAATAATAATAATAATAATAATAATAATAATAATAATAATAAATTAAAAATCTACAAAAGTGGTAATTATACAAATTTACTTGCAGAATTTAAATACTAAAATCAGGCCCCAAATTATGACATGTGCAGATTTATTGAACTCATTTGAACTCATCAGTGTTAAGCCTCCACAATATAATCAGTTACACAAATTTACATGACTTACCAGAAATATTAGGCCTTTATAAGCCCATATAATATTACCGATGATGCAAATGTACCTCACCAATTTAAATATTAAGATGTGACAGTGTTATTAACTGTCAATTTACCCACCTAATAAGGCTAAGTCTCCACAGTATTATTAACTACTCAAATTTACATGACTAACTAAAAATATAAAGCTCAAGCCCCTATAATATCACGAATAATGCAAATTTATCTCACTCATTTATATATTAAGATTCATTTCTGCTGTATGTATCTAACTAGTTTAAATAATACAAGGTTAGGCCTTGACTGTGTTAGTAACTAAGTAAATTTAACAAACTAAATTAAATATTAAGATCAAACTCCTACAATAATATTAATCAGGCAAGTTAATCTACCTAATTCAAATCTAGCAGTTAGGACAATACAATGATAATTATGCAAATTTTCCTGACTACCTGATATTTATTTACTTTTTATTTATTAAAGGAGATGATTAAATAATCACATTTATTTACACTCATTATACAAAAATAAAAAAACTACAGAGAATCAGGCTTTCAGAATGAGTCAAGTATATCCTGTGCTGAGCTGCAGAATGTAATATCCTCCTCTGGTCCTTAAAGCCCTGAATTACCAGACGCAGTGCTGAGAGGTCACGTCCTCGGTGGGAGCTGCAGCTCTGTGCAGCTAATGTTGTTATTGTGGTTTTGCTGCACTGTAGTTTGCAGACACAAACACATCTACAATAGGCCAGCTCTCACTGATGACTGATAATAATGAGAAGCTGCACTTTGCTCCCCGGTTGTTAAATTGAATAATCTCTGATATTAGCTGTGCAGATTAGGAATAACCACGTATTTAAACGTAGTGCAAGCTGTTCATGTTACCACGGTAACACGGAAAGACTAGGCTGCATTAAATTGGATATTGTTGCAAAATGCATTCACTTGCACATACGCCACATGCCTGTTGCTGTGTTGTAAGAAGGGGGGAAAAAAAGACAGATGGGGCCCTAAATCTCCATGACAACATTAAGTGGAAATATCCGGGGATTGGTTGGCTGCCATAAACGCCTTGACGCCTCATTGGTGCTTCGCTGCAGCACCAATGAGGCGTCAACGAGCCTCCACGAAGGTAAATGTGTCAATCGTAATGCTACATGCATTCCTGCTGCTTAACTCTACAGTGACAAATGAATTAATCATTAGGAAAGCTGTTGTTTCAGAAAGAAAAATCCAATGTTGTTCTAACATGCAGTATATTTTGCTGTAACTATCTCTTTATTTTCAGGTCTTGAGCATAAAACACAAATGATTTTAATGTCTTTAAGGAGATGCTTTGGTCTTATGCAACAGGTTTCACTGGACTCAGGAAACACACACATCATCCATCCAGTAGTGCAGAGATGAAGCTCTACAGGAGTCGACTGCAGAAAAGGGAGTTTTTAAACCAGCCTCACCGACCACAGAGAGCAGATATTCTGGGAGAGGACGGAGGCTTGTTCTGACTGCAGCATTAAGAGCCGGTGGGGACAGACAGGTTAGGATTCAGGCCAGAGTTTACTCCATTTATACTGCAGCAAAGGAGGAGGACGGCTTGAGAGTAGGCAGCGCTGAAGGCCCTCCGGTGCTAGTTTGCATCAGACTGTGGCCTTAAACAGGAACAGCACACATTAGATGCTGACTTTCAGATATTTTTACAGAATTACTTAACGACTTGTGTGCCAGTATTTGCACATATACCTGAAATAGTTTTTTTCTGATACAGATGCATCCTCTCGCCCTCCTTTTCTCCCTGTTTTGCTGTCTGAGAAGCATAACAGGATGATCAAACTACCTGCCGATTTAAACCCTCCAGTCTGAGGCTTAAACCCGACTATTCACTCAGATTTCCTTTTTTCCTCCTCTGCTGGCCCCGGTGCACCTATGACAACACTGGAATCACAAGTTACAGTGGGATACAACTGCAAGCTGTGTTTTCCTTTTTCTTCATTAAAAAAAAAAAAGAGTAAGGAATGGAGAGAATGCAGAGGAGGAGGGGGGGAGTGAGCACCAACACAACAGCTCAAATGAGCATAATCCACTGGTCTATTGTGTTTATTGTTTCAGTCAAATCAAGACGGCTTCTCATGAGAGATTCTTGGCCATTTCAAGTCCACATACAATACAATCAGTTCAAGTAAATTTCTGCAAAACTATACATCATCAGCTCAAAATAAAACACTATACATGTACATGTTAGCTCTCTTGTTATTTTATAGTTTAATCAAATAGTTGAGACTTCATTCTTACAAAATAAACTATAACAAAAGATTCAAACATCTCTGCTTGAAGTGATTTTATCCTCTTTTTTTTTTTAATACTGGCATTATCATTAAAAACATGTCAAGATAGAAGTTGAGATTGTGTTAAATATTTAAAACTAGGTATCAAAACATGATCCACTCCTCTATAAAGTAGTATTGCACTGAAGGTTTTCTCCGTAATACATCGGCTCTAATAAAACGTAAGAGGCTTAAAATCCAAGAGCGCCTCAGAAACATTGTGCTTGCTTCATACCTGTTAAATCTTGCTGCAATCCAGAAACTACAAATCCATTTCTCTCTGTAATCTCAGGGTTGCGCGGTTACATTCAGTTCCTTAAGTGCACACCTCCTCCACAACACAAGATGCAGAAGGTGAGGTGATGCTATGTTTCCTCTTTGCAGGTGGCAGCACTGTTGTGTCACAGCGCAGAGGGTGGCAGAGCAGCCAGGCTGTCCTTGTTGGCCTCCAGGAATTGGCTGCAGGCAGAAAAAGCGCTGTAGAAGCTGGAGGAGAGTCCGGCGATGTCTGTGGAGATGTAGGGGAGGACGCCTGGAGTGGCCTGGTTGTAGTAGGTGATCTGAAACCCCCCCCCAAAAAACAACACAGATTTATTTTTTGCTTTATTTCTGCAGGTGTGAATTGTTGCAGCGTAGCAGTTAAAGGTAGCGCGTCATGGCAAGCATGTGAGCCCCTCTCATTTGGCCAACCTTGGTGACAGTGCTGGACTCCTCCCAGATGGTGAAGCCAGCACAGAGCACCTCTCCCCTCGTGTAGTCCTCGGTGGGCGGGTGAGTGGGCAGAGTGACAGAACGCAGAGCGATCAGATACGGGTCCCTGAGTGGGACAGAAGTGGATAGAATCAGGAGATGTGATAAAAACGCAAGCAGCAGGCAAGTACTGTCATGCAAACATGGCTGCCTAATACACAGTATGAGGTGGAAAAGGAAACCAAGAAGCATCGGAGGTTAAAATGAAGAAAGCTGCAAAATGACAAAGGGTCATTCCGCCTCAGATCATCAGAGATCTTCTGCTGGACCATCTCTAATTTGCTTGGAACTTTTTTTTAATCATAAACTATGGATAATTTCTCTGAAATTTTAGATTGCTATATCATGTGCTTAAAAAAACAAAAACAAAACTGCCCGTTCAGCATGTTTTTTTCATGCATAGAAGTTTGTGGATACATTTGGATGACAATATACGGGGATCAATAAAAGATAAAAGCCAGAAAATTTTGGAAATCATGACATTGATTCAGAATCTCTGTAATATTAGACAAGTAGATGAAATCATCTCTGTTTAGGGGTTAAATAAGTTAGGGGGGGAAATAGATTGACGCTGTCAAAAGTCTCATTTTGAGCTCATGTTAACATAAAAACTGATAATGTAGAAGTTAACCAGTAATATTTATTGAACCATGTGCAGCTGCATGTCACAATAATGCAAAAGTAAATACACAGAATTTAATATGATATACGTGGTCACAAAAATAAAAAATAAAGTTATTTTTGTTGAGCTTGCACAACTGATTGAGCAGGTACAACAATTTGTATCACAAAAACAAAAGTATTGCTAGATAACCTCATCCAAGTAGAATGGAGTTATAGATTTTCAAAATGGTTCTCAAAATATAACTAAGATTGTTTTTTTCTTTAATTTTTGGAAAATATCACTGGTTGACGTCTGCATTATCACTCATCATTAACATTATCATTAACTTTTCATGACGGCTTCGCTTTTCTTCTCATGATCCAACCAAAATCAGAGAATATTTTATCTTTGTGTCCAACATTACAGAAGTAATGACACAATGAAAAATAACTGCAAAGATTTCAGGCTTTTATCTTCAATAGTTCCTGAGATATTGTCATTTAAACATCAAATTTCAATGTGCTGAAAGTGGGCTGGATGGGCAGTTTAACAAATCTTGGAAAGTATGTGATATATCAAGCTAAAATCAATATTCAATATCTACTGTATCTTTATTTTATGCTATAAAGATTTCAGGTAAATCAGAGATGGCTGAGCAGAAATTGTTTTAGAAATGTTTTGATCTGAGCTGGAATGACCCGAAAGCGAGGTAATCTCACAACACCTGGAATCACACGGCTTCCTTCTAGACGCCAGCATGATAAAGTCCTGCCCTTTGCCTCCTTTACTGATAGAAGGTGTAGCAACGCGATAAAGGGTGTCATCCTCATCTGCCTGGTTGATCAGATCACACTCCCTGCAGATGAAACACAATAATCGACATGTAAAAAAAAAACAAAAACAACGTACAATAGATTTTAGAGATGTAGCACATAGCATCACTGAATTAATTTTTGTTTTTGCAGTGCAGATAAATGGCTGAATCCTCACAATTTTCACTTTATGCAATCAAAAGGGCCATATTGTTCTTATCTTCTTTTGAGTATCCACGGCTGTGTACACTAAGTGTACTGTGAGGCAGTTTTAAGTTATTTTTTTAGCAAAAAAATGCATAATAATACCAATAAAAATAAAATTCCTTATGAAAATCGAACACAAAATTCACTATAAATCAACATTTACCATCTCGCTTTAAATGGTTTCGATGAATTCTTGGGATTCTATTCAACCGACTGACCATTGAACCAGCTTTACCTTCCATGTAGCCACGCTGCTAGCATTTTAGAAGCTACATTCCTGCTCCTGTTTTTGGTTGCTGTAATCATATAACACTCTGGGGGAATTTATACTTGTTCTCCAGTAAGGTGCACTGACTCAGATGATGCTAAATGCCAAATATGTGCCTGTTACTGACTCATAATGCCGATCCCACTCCTTTCTCCTCCTCAGATCTGACAGTAGGTGGAACGTCTGCTCTGCTGGGACGCTGACGTACATCTCCACCTTGAAACACAGCATGTGGTTTTCCTCCAGCGTGTACAGTCTGACCTACGAATGGAACAAACAGGAAGCTCGGCATCTATAAATATGATTCAATCCGGGTTAATAAGCACGTAAATGTCAAATCCGACTGCATGGGAAATCATAAATGTGGTGACTTGTACACATTTTAAGAATAGCTCTTTTAAGCTTTGTGCAAACTTTTCTGACTTACTCTGCATTCTTACGCAACTTCATTAAATCAATATGGCCCACATTTCGAGCACCCCGCCGTGGCTGAACTGGTTCTCTAGTTCAAAATAATACAAATCCGAATGCACGCAGGAAACCCCGACAGCTGCAGCCATTTAGCGAGCTATATCCTGGATAGAAACACAAACAATGCTGACCTTTTTTTTCTCAGAAGTTAATACCCAGTTGTTCCTGGTATCCATTAGTTTCAGTGCTGATACATTGTTGTAGCTCAGGTACATCTGTAAAAACAAAAGGATCTTCTGAACTCATAAACTTTAATGCAGCTGCAAGATCTCATTAGCTTTGTGTGCATCTGTTGGAAAAAACAAAACATAAAATACCTGGTTACTGGGATCCCAGGGTACAGACAAGGGCACTTCAGTTTGCTTGCAGGAGATAATGTATTTCCTGTAAACACGAAGGAGACCGTCGGTTTAATGTGCCATCAGGTGCTAAAGAAAGACCCGACCAATGTGAATACTTTTGCTCAGAAGATTATACTGGAGACAGGGTGTTTCACAGTCGAACAATGAACTTTTTATATGCTTGACAGACTCTGAAGTTAAGTCTGCAAAGCTGTGATATGTCGCTCTGCCAAGTCGTTTGCTGCAGCAAACTGTTGGAGACGAGAATTCTGCTGTTCGACACTAGAAAAACAATGCAATGATGACACTGTTTTAATATTACATCCAGCGCTTTATGCTACATTATGTTGGATAATTGTATTTTTATATATGTACACATGGTTTCTTTAAGCAAATTGGTTGTTTCCGTAACGGTTTATGGTGCTTGTGGGCTTGATGCGATCATTTTATGTAAAATCTGCTGCACAAAGAAGAGCATTTCCAAGAAATGGGACTCATATGTGCAATAAACAAACATTATCCCATCTGATTGCTCAATAGTCGCTACTCACCTGTCAAGTCGAATCTTCTTTCTGGCGATAGCTTCTTTATAACGTCTTCGTCCATCCTGTAGAAACATGTGAAAACCTCACACTAAAATCCTCACACAAAGAAAACTTCTCACGTGTTGCAAAAAAAAAACATTTTAGCTTTAAACTGTATTTTTGACTCTCTGGCCTCTGAAAAGGCAGAAATAGGACACTTAGAAAACCAACCACAGGCTCAGGTCGTAGTCGTGGCAGCGTGCGTGGTTTCCTGTCACTGTCCAGCACCTCAAAGGTCATAAAGGCACTATTTATATGGCGCAGCGGCTCTCCACCCTGGTAGGCCTCAGCACACACTCCCACCTCCATGCTGGAACAAACCACGCATGCAGACACGTGGGTTCACACAAAGAAAGATACAGATACACTTCTACATTCAATGAGTTGAGTGGATTTTTCTTCATAACGTGGAGGCTCACCTGTGCTTGAAGGCGTTGTTCACGATGGCTTTCAGCACCAGGCGGTCGCCGATGTGGGACGGGCCTCGAAAATGGAACATGTCTATGGTCCTCAGGGTCGGGTGAGCGTTACACAAGCGGCTAGGTCAACATATAGTGAGAAAACAGCAGGGTGTTGGTTGTTTGTTTGACCTCACAGCTTCTTGGAAAACAAGAAACGCTTTGTTATCTTTTGGAAACTCGCTTGTTCAACGTCTTTCTGAGAATAAGATGAGAAAATTGATACCAGTCGCATATCTGTGCGTTCAATATGAAGCTACAGGCAACAGTCAGTTAACGCAGCCGTCATGCTTCCTGGAGTCTCTGCTGGTGAAGTCCTGGTGACAGATTTGCCATTCAGCATGTTTTTCTATAGATAGCATTACTGGCAATCATGATATTTATAGTTTTCCACGTTTTTTTGCAGACGGTTCAGTTTTGGCAGTGTTGCTGCAGGTATGCATCAAGGTCATCGTTTCATCTGCAAATTAGATTCGTGGAAAACTTGCAGTGGACTTCTGGCTCACTTTGTGGAAAACTTCATCCATTAGCTACACCCTCTGTGCCCTTCAGAGGGTCCTGGAGGAGGCTGGATTCTATCCCATCTGATACTGGCCAAGATACAGCGCTGGTCATCCGTCCACTGCAGAGCTAACACGGAGAGACATGCATGCTCATCCTCACACCTGTGGTCAACCTAGATTCACCGTTTAACCCACCACGCACGTCCTTGGGCTGTGGGAGGAAGCCAGAGGAAATCAGCGGAGGCACGAGGAGAACAGCCGACCAAACCCACAAATCCACAACCTGGTAGTTGTGAGGCGACGCTGCTAACCGCTGTGAAAGCACTAAGAAAATATCTCTTGAGATATTATTAAAACTTCATAAAATATGAATTTGCTGCAAACTTGCCAAGATATTTCCACAAAGTGAGCCAGAGGTCCACCGCGTTAGTAATTTGCATATGAAATTATGAGCTTGTGGCGACATAAAGTTAGCCAACAGCTGTCGGCCAGAAAACTGAAAAATGTGCACCATTATTGCCAGTAATGCTTTTTATTGCAAACACAAACTGAAAGGTTTGCCATGAAGGACAAACTTTTTTACTAGAATGCCACTAGAAGTTAAGCACTATTGGCAAACTGTCGTGGCAAACCAACAGTGAACGTGTTTGCAGGTTTTCCTTATTGGCAGAATGATGCTGGCAGGTTGCCACCAGTGATCAGCGCTGATCAGCTGAAGCAAACTGATGTCTTTGCTGCTAATTGCCCACAAATTTGCTGCAAATAGTTTGCTTTTGAAGATCTCCTGGTAACCTAATAGTGACTGAAGATCATTATTGGTGTTAAACAAACACAACATAATGTGTTCATCACAGCAACATTATTGGTCAGTAAATGGTTTGCTGTTGCTCAGTTTCTGGTCTTTATGTTTCTGCTAAGTCAACTGTCACTTCACATTTACCGTATAGATATAGTATCAACCTTCTCATCTACCTTTGGGCATTCCCGATCCTTCAAGTGTATTTGCTGTTTAAGCTGTGTAAATGTAAACACTAGATGCACACCTCGCTGCGATTGTAGCCACATTCTCCATCCAGGCCATGATCTGGCCTCCGAACGTGCTGACCTGGTGGTTGGCGTGAGGCGGCAGCACCAGCTCCACGCTCTCAACTCGCGTCCGCTCAGCTGGCACAGCGTCCTGATACTCCTGACATTCTCCTGGTGAGAGAGCACGAAAACAAAGGGCTTTAATCAATCTGATCTCAAAGCGCCGCGCGCCGCGAAGCCTCGTGCCTGTGTACCCAGCTGAGCCGTGCTGCTGCTCAGTAGGTCCGTGATAATCTCAGCGTGGATGAGCCTCATCCTCCTCCGCTCGGCTGCCAGGCTGTACTCCATCTGCTCCATTTGTGTGTAAGGAATCACCTGCTTCAGCTGTACCTGTGAACACAAAACACAACTCGGGAAGATGTGGAAGTAGTTTTATTAAAATGCCTGTGTGCAAATTTTGGTGCTTTCTCATTACCTTCCCAGCTTCGGTTCGTCTTGCAACAAAGGTGGCGAATGCGTGGCAAACCTTCCACTGTCGATCAGTGTAGAGGTCTTCACATGACACCAATATGCCCACCTGAAAATTCAAACAACAAGGCCACATTCAATACAGTTGTTCTGTAATTATAGGAAGATTTTCTGTGCAGAAACCACAAAACAACATCCACCAACCTCCATACTGGATGTAAAGGCTCTGTTGACCTTTGCTATAATGTTGACCACCTTCCCCACCCTGCAGGAGACACACACACACACACACACACACATGCTTCTCTTTACTGTCAACATGCAGCTATGATTGTACTTTACACAATACGAGACATAATGTTCAGTCAACAGCAAGAAAAGTATGACCATCAACATCATATTTTTGCTCCCTGTAATTAAGACAAAGCACCAAGAACTATTTTAAAAAGCTTACATGACAAATTCCTGAATTCCTTTTTTCTAATAAAAGCATTTATTTAAAACATGAGCAGTTTTTGTGACAGAAAACTGACTTTGTCCTTCAAGCATTGGTGGAAGTTGACTTCATTTCAGCCCAGTAATTACCCCTTTTCCCCCGATACTGTTGCTGCAAAATATACTCAGTTAAAGTTACACGTTTTGGTGGAGCAGCATTGAAGTTAATACTTTACCCTATGGTGTGTTCAAAATTGATGTCGTCCACCGATGCAGTGATGCACGAACAGCCTGCGTGTCTCTCGGCTGGCAGAGGAGAGATTATGCAAAAAAAATTAGGTAATGCGTCACAAATCATCTGCAAAACAAGTAAATAATACACTTACAACCTGTAAATATGTGTAAGTATATACAAATGCACAGAAAGGATCCATCAAACAGAAAACGATTGTAATTTGTCTGTTGAGCAGCAGCAAAACGTATCAGTACATTGCTGTTGTCTTTTCTTTGTATGCTGAAATATTTGAATATGAAAGGGGTCAAATTTGATCCAGCATTAGCTGATGTTTATGTGCATGCTTCCCACTATAAGGGTACAAAAGTGGAGCGTTCAAATTAATCATAAACAACAGCTTGATAAAAAAATACCCCAGTTTGAACTTTTTTATGGGTGTAGATAAGATAGTCTCAGAAGGTACAGCATCAGGGGTCAAAGTTGAGGCCAGAATAAATCAGGGTCAAGAATAAAAACAGGTAAACAACAGACAGAAAAACAATTGCAAATGGGAAAGTGTATTCTAAGTGTTTTATGCGTACAGCTTTGTAGATGCAGCAACTTGAACATGGGTCTCTCCAGCTAGACGTTTACTACAGGAATGTCACAAACCTACAGAGACGTCGGTTTCCAGTCTGTGTGAATACGGACTACAATCTCTGCTACACATGTACGTGGGTTTCTGTGCATGAAACTTTGCAGAGCAGGGAACGAATGGTGCTGTGCAGCGATCACAAAACAAAGAACGTTGCACGCATTTGATCAGAATTTAATTTATACTATACACATGTTTGCATTCTGGCCAAGGTTGCAAGCAAGGTTGCAGATGCATTAAAAGATGTGAGCAGCTATTTTACATTATGAATGCCGTACTATAAAGCAGAAAACTCCTGAGAGCAATTGTTGAGTTTTTGTTTGTCGTTTTAAACTGCGAGTTTGTACTGAGTTGCTTTGGATAAGAGCAAATGCAAGACATTTTTGGACCCCCTCCTACCAGATAAGCAGGCCGTGGAGTCCATCCACTTCAGCAGCTGTCCAACGCTCAGCTCCCCGCAGTGGTTTGCGTGGCAGGGCAGCACGATTTGACTCATCTGTACCTCGGTGGGGTTTCTGTACACTTCCCCGCTCTCCTGGATGAACAGAGGGTCCAGCGTGGCGTCCGCATCTTTCTGCTCTGTCGTCATGACTCACAACTATATGGAGAAGGGAAACAAAGAAAGTATATACAGGTAAACTGAGACAGCGTATAGTTTCATTTGCTTCCCCGCACAAGAGGACAAATGCTGATTACACAATAATAAAAACTACATACATCACAGCAAATGCAGGTTTTCTAAATATGTATCCACATATATGTACAGTACGTATGTACATAGTTATATATAGTAAAGAAATTGAAAGTCAAGTCAGAGGAATGTCTACCATATCTAACATCTGTAGTGTCCCTATGCCTACAATTTGTTCACTACCAATCTGAAACATGCACAGTGAAATTTGCCCCATAAGACTTGGAAATAAGCTTTAAATAATCTGTTTGTAGTTTGAAGAATTGCCCAACCTTTTTTTTCCCCCACGTCTGACTCAAGGATCAGGATCAGAAACGCCTTCTTATGCAAATGCAACCTCAAAGCATTTGATGGAAGCACTTCACAGCTGTGCATAATTTGCATACAGTGTTTTTTCTATTGTTGTTCTTTTTTATTGTGTTAACATTGCAGGCTGGGGCTTGTCTGAATTATCCTCAGGCATAAATTGGGGCATTCATGGCTGCTGGAAGTGAAGTTGAGCCCACACTTGCAGTCACCTGTTATCATGAGCAGGAGCCACAGTGACCTTTAAAAATGTTAAAAATAACACTACATTCACCGTGACCTGCTGACAGTAAAATTTAAAAAAAAATTCTGCAAGGGCTATTTTTGTGGAAGTCTGCCATATGTTCTGTGGAAGTCGTCACCAGCAAACATGTCGGGAGTTCAACAAACAAACAAACAAACAAACAAACAGAAAAGCTCTTACTGAGGTTCAGAGTTTCTGCTGCAGCTGAAGCGGTGAATCCTGCGTCGCCTTCAACGTTCAAACCGGCTGAAGGAGCAACACGCGACCCGGACCGAGGCTCTGCTCACTTCTGCCATTCCTGCATAACACCGCGACTGAAGAAACACTCACAACAAGTTCCACCACTGGAGGGACGCGGACCAGCCCCTCACAGCGCGCCGCGTTTAAGGTGGTATTACAGCAGACTCATGGTGAGCTAAGGCCGACCACAGCCAGGAACATGGAGGTGTTGGGCAGCATGTCATACATTCTGAAAAAGAAATTATGAACACACACACAAAAGAAAACAATATCGAAAAAGTTAATAAGACCCGTGGAATTTTCTTTATAATAGGGACAATTCACTTATAAGGAACTCAACTCATACAGGACTCCCATGCAACTCAGTTTCTAATTTAAAATTTAAAAAAATTGGCTTATTATTATTTTTGTTTTAGTTCTGATGTGGCAAAACTCTATTTTTTCTTTTTTACAATTTATTGCTGATAATTACGGAAAATATTTCACAATATATTGTTTGAATACACCTATTAAAATACCTACATCTATTAAAATAAAGAATTAAAAATAGAATAGAATAAAACTTAAAATTATTCCTTTAACTTCCAGTTCATTTGTTGAAAAAGAGGGGGAGAAAAATTGATTCAGCATAAATGCCCATTTTAATTTCTTTAATGATTTTTTTTCCCCCTGAGGAACAATTTTCAAAATACAACGTATTCAGGCTTGAGAAAATGTTTATTGATTTGTTTGCTAATTAAGAAGGATTTTTTATTATTTTTATCACAGGCAACTCACAAGAAACTGTCAAAACTACTGGTTTAAAAATGAGTACAATCAGTAAAATAAAATACAAATGGACATGTATAATGCTTTAAAAGAATTTATTTAAATAATAAAAAAAAAAAACATTTATATAAGAAGAGGATGACGTAAGGCAAATTTGAATAATACCAGTACTTTTCACAAATAATTTTAAAAATAAAATTCTTATGTTTTTTGAATATATTATCTGCACCTTTTATAACAAATGTAGTTAACTTTGGATACGCCCTTCTACATATACAGCTGCACAAAGTAGCTGAACACTTGTTTCTCTTCCAGCTGCCTTAATTTAAATGCATGTGCGTTTTATTGTGTAAACACTTTGGGGCAAAGAAAAATTAGTCAAATTTCCTGTATTTGTACACATAATTGGTCAATTAAGCTGATTCTGATGCAGAAAACACTGTGCCACAACAGCTCGTTTACATTGAATCAATTTAAGCAAACAATGAACACGGTAACTATTAATTTGTTCATTAAACCAGGCTCGCTGATATCGCAGCTGCGACGTCAAAACGGTGAAGTGAAAGCACAGAGAGGCAGACCTTAAGGAGCTCGGAGCGTTCTGATTGGCTGCCGGAGCCGTCAATCAGCCGTGGCCCCGCCTCTTCCCCCCGGACCAGGCTCGGTTGTCGGGTTGAGGAGGAGTGCGGTTGGAGTGCGAGAGGGTCGCGGCCGCGATGATCTGACAGATGAAATAGCGAAAAAAGAAAGAGAAGGCGGGCGTCCTCCCACACAAAACAATGTTCCCCAAAGGCAAGGGCACCCCGGTGCCGTCGGACGGCCAGGCACGAGAAAAGTAAGCTCAGAAACGTTTATTATCGTGTATTTTTTCGCCTCGCAAGTTGCTCCCTCAACGCTCTCTGTTGTTCGCTGGACGGGCTAGCAAGAGGCGATTTCCTCCTACCGAGAATGGAATTGAATGAACCGCCTTGTCTGCTCGCCATTCCTCCTCTGAGCCGTGCTTCTGCCGCCGTGCTGTCTTTCCTACACATCCCCGAGCGATTCCGAATGCAGTTTGGTTGTGTTTTAAGCGGCGGCTGGCTCGTATTTTTTGCGGGTTTTTCGGGCTGAGAGCTCGGAGCGGAGAAAACAATAACAGCGCGGCGCTACAGTACATTGTTTTCTCTGTTGCGCTCTCTGGATAGGCTCCGTTTTTATTTCCCTTCAGCCCCATCAGTGCCACCAAGACACTGTACCAAGCTAATACACAACAGGCTGCTGCTGCTCTTTAATGTTTCTCATCATTAATTTATACTGCTGCTTCAGCACTTTGGTTTAACCTTCTAATTGTAGTGAATCCTCACCAGGCTTGCCTTGGTTACCAGTCCCCATTTAATTTTTTTTTTTTGGCAAAGGCTATTTGGCAGCCATTGTTCAGAGGGCCTGTAGGCGACTGTAGTCACTCAGTGTTCCCGTACAGGAGGATTTAACCTGATGTTTGGCGATTTATGTTTTTGCCACTTGGCCATGTTTGTTCAATTAAACCCAAAAAATATGTGTTGTTTGTCTCACACAGGTTGGCTCTATACGTCTATGAGTATTTGTTGCACATAGGAGCACAGAAGTCTGCACAGACCTTTTTATCAGAGGTATGTGGAATTTGGGGTAAAAGTTCAACCATATTAGCACACCCCCTTTATTTTTTTAACATTTAATTTTAATTCACATGTACTGCCTTAGAGAGAATAAATAAAAAATGTAATTAATTGACTCAAATTCCACTTTTCTAGATCCGATGGGAGAAAAACATAACACTCGGAGAGCCCCCTGGATTCCTACATTCCTGGTGGTGGTGAGTCTCGTCCGCCTGTAATGTAATGTGCAGGGGCTGTTTGTGTGGTTGTGTTTGCTTCATGACTTCTCCTGTCCACAGTGTATTCTGGGACTTGTATTGTGCTGCACCGGAGAGGAGAGAGACATGTGACCACTCCAGCGAAGCAAAAGCCTTCCATGATTACGTGAGTAGTGCTTACATGGGAACTGTTGCACACATCTTCTTCCACAGAAGACAGCGGCGTTTCTCTCAGGAGGTGTTGTAAATAACGCACCTCAGTGAGTCAGAAGTTTTTCGTTGGTACCCGCAATGTCTGCCGTTTTCTCAAGTCCTGACAAAATTTCCCACCATACCTGAGAAGTGATCACGATTAGGGTTGAAGCTGGTTGATTTCTGCTTTTTTTTTTTTTTTTAAGGTTGCTTGTTTACACATTGCTCTCGAGATGTAAGTGGTGTTTATTACAGCATCTTGTAGGCGTGTTTAACAGTCTAGTGCAGGTTTTTTTTTAATGCTTTTTTTTCCCTCCTTGCTGCTGAATTTATGGCCAGTTATCTTGATCTGTTGGTGGGTCGAATGATGCGCCCAACAACGAGCTTTATAGGCTTCTGGGAAAATGATGCTGATGTCAGCACGTCCTCCTGAGTCAGACCTGTCGAGTGCGCGCCCCCCTTATCCGAGCTCCCTGCCTCGGTTGTGGAGAAGAAAAAGAACCTACTGTGTGTTCTGCACGGTGTCAGGGAATTTATACGCACAGCTTGGTTTTTGACAAAGATCTTCCGCTGCCCGAATGTGGGGCAGCTCCAGTACATGTTGGAACACATTACCTCCAATGACATAATCCTAATGGGTTTGAAACTGTGGAGACAGATTCACGTCCTGAATTTTATTTTTTCTTTAAATGTCACTCAGGACACGTGGGTCATTTGGATGTGCGTTTCTCCTCTCATGATAGCGCTGCCGTGTTTGCATAGTGTGGGCTCGTTTTGCATCTTGATAATGATTTTGGAGATAGTGGCGTTTTCATTCCCGTCAGCATTCAAAAAGAACCTCATGTAAATCAAAGAAAGTGGGAACTGCTTGTCAGTGGGCCCCTGCTGTTTGCATCCTTGTGTCTCCTCAGCCCCTTTCAGACATGCACTCGTTTCCATTAATACGCAGACTTCTCGACGTGTCGGCTTCATGAATGAGCACCCTGCTGACTTTTCTATAAAATTCGTGATGGTAATCTTACCAGGTCGCACCACGGCAGCGTTTCAGCGTCACTTTCAAGTCTGCACAAGTCTGAAGCGTAGTCGCCGCTTTAACAGATAGGCACACATTTGCTCTGCGGTTTCACATCTATCACAAACTGAAATTTCTATGTCAAATCAAACTTTACTCTGATAAAGGACAGAGACTAACGGGTCAGATTGATGAGACTCATTAATAATAAATGCAGTCTAGGTTGTGACAAAATGCTGCTGAAGTTTGTTGCTTCCAGCTGTTTGCCGTCGTCTGTCCTCTGAGTTTATTGTGTATTGGCGGCGTCAGACAGCAGCAGCGTCGTTAGTTAGTCGTTCGTTATCCCCAGCATGGAGACAGGATCGCTCAGGATGTAACAGCAGATCGTGCTGTGTACTGTCTTTACTCCACACAGGCGAACCGTCACACACAGAGCCAATTTATAAGCTAAGTTAAATCTGTTAGGTAGCGGTCGTCCTTAGCTTGAATCTAAAGGCTGGTTCCTAAAGTTGTAGTTAGATTATTGTCAGACATGGACAGAATCAAAAATAAACTAGTCTGTTAGCTATTTGGACAATTTGATAAGCTTGCTGTTAGTTTAGATTTAGTCTTTTGTTTATCAGTATGCATTATAATGTACCGTCGAAGCTTACATATATGGCTAATATTGCATGTTTTATTGCTTTAAAATTAGCTGGGAATGTCTGAATAAAGCCGCTAGAAACATTAACATAAAATCGAGCTCTGACCGAGTGACAGAACTGATGAAGCCAGCAATGTTTTCTGGCCTCATCTGAAAAGATTAGGCAAACATTTTGTGTAGCTAATGTGAATAACGGCAAAAAGACTATTTAGGTTTTGCTGTATCAGCGCAGAAAAGGCATTAGAGGTTAAAGGAGTCCTCTCAGGATGATTGATGTCCAGTTTGTTGGCGGGTTGCTTGTGCATCAGGCAGGGGAGGGTTAAAACGGAGATGTTGGTCCTGCTCTTGGCAGATAGGGTTGTCAGGGTAACAGGCCTCCTGATCCGGCAGGTGACCTGGGAGCCAGGAGAGAGGCTACAGCGAGGCTGTGCCCTTTCACTAACCACATTCCTTATTATTCCAACTCATCCAGACAAAGGAAGAGCTCATTTTGTCTGACAAGCAGCCTCAATTCACCTAGACCACTTCACGGTAATTGATTGCTTGTTTAGGTAGAATGTGTCTTTCTCTCTATTGTGTGGTTGTGTGAAAGTGTCACAGGTTTTACAAATCTGTTA